TCAGACTAGTAAAAAAAGTCGTCATCCCTGGTTTAGCAAAACCTGAAGACGCTATGGAATTTATCAGAAGCCATATTAGATCTTTTCCTATAGTCCCTTAAGATTATTGTAGAAAGTTTTGAACCTATGAATGTCTGTCGCAGGACCTCAACGTACAAAAAATTTATGATTTGTATGTTGATAAATGCAACAGAGAGAAGATAGTGCCTGAGAAATCTTGGTTGTATAACAAGTTTTTCACCATGACTTTCGTTTAAAATTTTAAGTACCAAGAAAAAAAATGTGTAATACATGTTTTAGATATCAAAATGCAACGAAAATAAAAAGAATACAAACAACATACCAATAAGAAAACTGATGCAAGAGAATTTTACGACAAAACTTAGGCGGATGCGTTGGCAAACAAAATAAATTTCATTCAATTTTATCTATTTGCTGTAAGGTACTGCCTCTCCACAAATGATAAAGCAATTTTTTACAAAAGATGACTATAACCGTGTATAATCGTACTGTTTACGATGTGAGCATCAGAAACGCTACTAGTTATATGTGGCATGAAGGAGTGGTTGACAGAGGTTCGAATAAAGTGTCATCTTATCTTTATAAATATCTACAACACAATTGCGATGGTAAAGAGTTTGTTTTAATGAGTGACACATGTGGTGGATTCCAAAAAATGACCATTCCTTTTTTGAATTTAGCCATTTAATAAGGGAGTGTGACTCTGTCCATGGTCATATTGAGAAAGCATAAAAAATGTGGACATATTAGACCCCACTGGGTGGTACACCATTGTAAGAATGGCGTCGAAGAAATCAAAATACACAACATGAGATTGGAAATGAAGAAATGTGTAACTTCAAAGCTGTTGACACATTTCTAATAAAAAAAGTGAACACCGATGGTAGTAGTATAAATTCGCTAAAATTAAAATGGCTGTAGTACAAAAAAGACAATAATAAACATACATTGTTTAAATATAACAAGGAAAATAAAAATTTCTGGTCTTTTGAGGTTATCCGAAAAGAAACTAGGAAATTTTCCATGCCAAACTTAACAACGGCATTTGAAGACTGAAGGCCAATAAAATAGGAAAATATAAGGATTTAGAAGAGCTGTACAATAAAGGCATTATTGTTTTCTAGTATCATCTCTTCTATAAGTCGTTGCTCACCAACAATAAGGACAATCAATTACATATGCAAAGTGATTGACATAATTAAAATTATTGTTTAAAAATGTTTTCAAAATTTATGTTTAATTAAAAAAAAATATTTTATGGATTTAAATAAAGTTATAAACGTCTCGATGGGAATAACCACAATATACTTATTAAAAAAAAGAAACTTTATTGACGTTTCGACTTCTAATTCAGAAATCGTTGTCTAAACATTTTATAAAGTTTCTTTTTTTAACAAATATATTAAGGTTATTGGTTAATATTATATTGATATTATTTTTTTGTAAAATTACCACAAAAAAGTTATAAGGTCCAAAAGAAAATTTGTTCCAAAATTTTTAGTTGTTTTTGTTTATATTTTTCTTTTTGTATTTAATAAATAAAAAACTCCCATTGCTGACCTGATTCAAACCTACAAGTACGAGTAAGTAAGTTACAACTTTGTTCAATATTTGGTACGGCGATAAAAAAATGATTTAATATATTTCTTTCCAATAAATCATTCACTCTGTATACCTCTACCTATAATTTGTACTACATTTACTATTTTATTTTACAAAAATAATACAAAAAACAAAAACTAACAAATACAAATTATTAAATAAATTTATTTACATAAAATAAATAAATATCCCAATAAATAATATAAATATTTAAAATAAGAAGTTTTTTTAGTAGTTTAACATATAGAAAGAATCGTTTTGAGTTTACTTTTTCTAATAATTCGATTGGACAGTCTCGATTTTCTTTAATTCTAACAATAACTTTATATTTCAGTTTATATGTTATGTTAATGAACCACCTTCTGTTAATTTTAAATAAAATTAAAAACAAAGAAATAGTACTATACTTTAATAAAGAACATAGAAGTATACCAGGATTGCTATTTATGTTTTGAGATATGGTAACACCATGTGAAAACGTCAATTGTAACATCAACTTATCTTTTAGCGATAAGTCTCAGACAGAGAGGCCACTCTGATCATTACTTATAATAATGTCTGCCATAGTGGTAACAGAAAATTAGAATAAAGTGATTCCTGATTGGGCCTATAAGAAAAATAACAATTAATAATTTTTTTCACCCACTTTGTTTATTTCAACTTTATTTGAAACATGTTTGAATAACTCTACTGTCATTCCATACCACTGTCGCAAGTTGTGTACGAATCTCGTCTACTTTTGGATCAGCGGTGTTGTATCTATCCGCTCCTGGACTATTAACTACAGTCTAAGGCATTTGTCGTGTCTCACTATCCAAGTCATTTAAGCTTCCTATTTAGTAGTGAACATTTCGTTTTCCTTTTCCATTCGTTCCAAATTATATTCCAAAAGTCAAAGGTTTTTCTTCTATGCAGAGGACAATACACATTTGATGAATCGTAGCATTTAGCGAGATTATAAATATAGCTTCGGGACTAGCTTGGGATGCAGTATATTATAACTTTTTACCTTAACAACAGCTATAATGAGTGTAATAATTCAGTAGCTGTCAATAAAAATATATTTTTCTCCACTACTTCAGCACTTTATTTATCATCGTCGATCGAGAAGAATCCGACAGAGGGCATTAGGAACAATTCGAAATTATAATTACATTCGAATTGTCCGTGTGTCTTGATACCTTTGCTAGCTCCGCTCATTACTTTTTTCTTCGAATTGGCATCATTTTTTACGAATAAATATTAAGAAATATATAAATATTAAAAAAGACTCGTTTTCCAACTTTGATACTCTTCTATTATATTTCTATTATATTGCATTTTAAGAACGATTTCCGAAGTGGAGAACAGCTAATTTCTACTCTTACAGACCGATTTCAGTAAACATTTGCTCCAATTTGGATTTATTTATAGCTGCAGTCAACATTTTGGAGAATTTACATTAATTGTTTATCCTGTACATTATCAAAACCTTTAGAATAATCCTTAAAGCTTACATACACCTTGTTCAAATCTCTGCATCGGTATATCAATACTTTATTGATCAACCGTAATCGCTTACCAACATTAAAAACTCCCTCTCTCTTATCGACGATCATATTTTTTCTCACCTTTTTCTAATTCGTTATATTTCTCAAACAATCCTATATCTTTAGCTTCCTTAAATTTTGTCCATATCTTTATACGTATTTTCCGTTAGTTTTTTTTATGTCGTATGTCAAGATTTCTTCAATCATCGCGTATCGTGTAATTAAATAAAATTAACTTCTTTTTAAACATTTAAGAGCAAGCAAAGAACCTGTGAATGACGATCTTGTTCGTTATGTGGAATTACTTTGAAAATGATTTAAAATATATGAAAAAAAAAATTGTTTCTTTAATAATATATAAATAAATTGTTAAAATATATTGTTTTAAACATATCATTTGGTTTCAGTTGACTGCTTCAAAACTTAAATAGCATATAGAGTAATAATAGCTGATATGTAAGATACTGGATTGTATGGTTATAAGGATAAACAATTGATTAGTATAAAGATTGACAAAACGAATTTTAAAGATAGACAAAATTAGTTTACCGATTTTAATATCAGATGTCGCTATTTGCGTCCATTCAAAGAAATATTAGAGTTGTTTCCTAAGACAGAAGAGTTTTATTTTCACGTTCAGAGCGACTGTGGATTGTCGTTCTGATGAGGCCTATTAGGCCAAAATACGTATAAGCTGCTACATAGACGAACGATAGAAGAAATCAAATATTAACTGTCCTTTCCTTTTTATAGACTAAACGGTTGTTTTTTGTGGTTTGACATGTAGTTTGATATGTAGCTGTGACATAATTTTGCAAAATTACACTGAACACACACAAAAAAGTTTCATAGAAGCTTAAAAACAAAAAGAAATTAATTTTTTATTGTTAGTTACAAGGAATACGAAATTTACTCATAGATGAAGTAATCAGCAGCGTCAAATAAAAATCACGATACAAAATAAAGAACAAATCAGTCAAAATAGTTAGTTACGCAGACGGCACAATATTGATAGCATATAATAATAATAGACAATATTGATAGCATATGATGATGATATACAAAGACTATTCCATATATTCAACATAAGAGCAAAGAATTTATTATGACGGTCTCGCCTCAGAAAACAAATAGTAATTAATCGGTAAATTAATCGCGTTAGAACTGAATAAGCAATAGAGTATGTTTCAATTGTAGTGGCGGAAATTTCTAGGAACAGTAAAGCCTCCCCAAACAAAGCAGTGGCGTTCCAAAAAATACTTATGATTTAAATCAAATTGTTAAAGATAGGTACACAAAATTTATTAAATATATTTCTTATAGTTCTTTGTATGTCCTTAACGAGTCGTTAAGGAGTCATTAATAATGACTTTTTAATTACGGTTTTAAGGGAACTGATACTAAATTAGAAATTAACTTTTACCAAATTTTCTAAAGTATCAATTATTAAAGATCGTGTTATAACAAACATTTATTATTTAAGTGGGTAATAATTTTGTAATTAGTGCGATTTCAAATAATTTAATTTGTTTAATATTGCAACGCCACTGCATGGGTCTGATCATAGATATTCTATTGTCTGCGCGATTAATTACTTCGTGGAAGGGCTCGCCACTCCATTTAAAATAAGATGTGTTAATAGACATTTTGGATGATTTTAAATACTAATCAATTGTCTGTTTAATAATTCTTAACTTTCTTTGACATTTTTCTTATAAATAAGTATCTTTGGTATCAGTTTATTATCAAGTAGTTGTGGTATACATTTCTAGTCACGAAAATATTAAAAATTTTAACAAAAAAGCAACAAAGATAACCTTTACAGCTATTAACACTACTTACACGAATCTAAAAGTGGGTTTCTGGTGGTTCATCGATATATTTACATGTAAAAGGCATCAAAAACCAAGAACAAAACGACTTATCGTGCTTATGTTTACATTTTCCTCTTCGACTGTGAAAAATTCGACTATGCTCAGAATCGATGCTAGAATTTTCCGAGTCCCGAACGATACTATCGTATCCGCTTTCGGCTCTTCTGGAAATACCTGCTGGACTGTGTTTGGACGTTCTAGGTGTGGAATCGTGACCGCTGTCGTACTCTTCGGATTTCTGGCCACCGTCTCCTAGTTTCCTACTCATTTTGATGGCAGCTATTCCTGTTTCTAGGTTTAGTATTGCTCGGTTTATTCTCTCCACTAGAAATAAAGACCTTCAAATTAAAGTATTAAAAATAAAACTTTAGTTACCAAATTCAGGTTAAATTAAACGTAATAAAAGACTCTTTTTTTTTGAAAATTTTATATTATTATTAATTTTTCTAAAACTGTCAGATGCACTCTTATTGGAATCATCTATAAATATCGTAAGGCCGTAAAAACCGTAAAGCTTATTGCAAAAAAATACTCCAAATATTTTAAAACTTCCATCTACTTCTATCAATTATATATTGTCTCTTATACTGTATTCTTCTTATTCTTTTTATGTAGATATGATTTTGTCTGTTTTTCAATGTGCCTCCAGAAAGTTGTCGTTTTATCGTTTTCCTGATCTTCCTACTGATCGTCTTTCTATTGGGAAATCGTTTATTGTCATCTGTACTACTCTATTTATTGTCATTCGGCTTATATGATCGTTGCCTTCTACTCATTTATTTCTTACCCAGTCCTTGATATTTTTCACCTTGCAACTACGTCGTGTATCTGTAATTCTAGTTCTAACCCATGGTGACTTACTTCTTACTTAATTCTTAATTCTTACTTACGTAGAATAATTTCAAATAATTTTAAACTGTTCATCCTTGTTTTAGTGTAGTGTTATGTACAATTTCTGTTCAATTTCATGTTTATAACATTCTGCGCTTGCTGGATAGCCCAAATTTGACGAAATGCCCCTGATGATGCTGTAGATAGCGAAAGTACTTGGGCAAGATTTGAATATTAAATTTGTGCTCGATATTTGCCTTTATTTTTTCAAAGTATATATCACTTGATTACCTATTCAAGCGGTAAAATCCCCCAATACCATTATCTTTCCTCTGACTTGATCTACTACTTGTTGTTATTGTTGATGTTGTTGTTGTTGTAATTAGTCATAAAACGTTTTCTTTCTTGTATTCTGTATTTGTTAAAGATTTTATTCTTCTTGACTTTCTCTTCATTGCTGTTTAGTTTAGGTTTTGTCCTTTCTTCTATTTACACAAACATTTTCTTTGTTTTGGTGGTATTCATTTTTAGTGAGTATGTCATCTTCGTACGTTAGAATTATTCGTAGGCTCTAGTCTGAGGATACTTCCAGCTTTATGTTACCTTCTTTGTTGGTCACAGTTTACCTTTTGTAGCAGAATAGTAATAACCTAACCGGCTTGTTGGTGTTCATTGTTATATATACGAAATATCGAAATTTTTAATTAGAACGAAGTAATAAACTGTATTGGAGTGAGTGTTTTTATTTAGGATACATACCTGACGGAAGACTATTTGGTGGAGGTGTTGGTTGAGCAGTTATAAATTCTGGAAGCACACTTGAAGATAATCTCGTACTTAATTCCTGTTCTAAATTCGGATTTGACGCTCCATCTGGATGACGTAGATTTGATAATGTATCTCTTTCATCATGATTATACCTAAAATCAGTCATACTGTATTTTTCAGACATAAAAATTGTAAAATCAGAAAAGCATAAGATTATAAAATTATTTTTATCTTAAAATTTGATACGTGAAGCATTTCCCGATATTTGGAAAAAAGTAAAATAGAAAAAGCACAAAAATATTAGTCAGTGGAACAGAGGAACAGAAAATGGTCGATATACTTTGCAGGAAAGTAACTTTTTGGTTATCAGCCGACATTCATAAGCTGGATAGTAACATCAAATTCATTACCTCTCGTAGCGAATTCCTTAGCAGGAAAAACATTTTAAGGGCAATTTGGGATGTAAACACAAGGGCTCAAGACGTCCTTAAAACATTTGGTTTTTATAGAAGACATCTCGTTTTCGGGCATCCTTATAATTCACTAACTCAAAGTCCAGGTCTTTTTGTGGTTGTTAATCTCATTGTACGAGGATACCTGTTCTATGCATGTGCGTTGTACGTAAGTATGCTACCTCTGCATAGAAAACATGAGGCATTGTCCATGGCATCATTGGCGGGAGTTTTTAAATCTAGCAATTTATTGGTAGAGGTTATTAGCAAGTTATTTATTATGACAGAATGCATTAAAACGTTGAAATGCATATTCCTGGTTTCTAAAAATCGTCAAAAGTCATTATATTATGGTCTTTAACTGTCATAGGGTGCAGATACTCAGTGATCAGTTTGCATATCTTTCCAGGTCTATTTTAAAATCCTGGTTTTATTGATATGATGTGATAACACATGAGTGACGTTCAATTTGGATTTAGAGCAGGACTCGGAACGAGGAAAGCAATTCTTAGTTTGCAAGTTCTTATATAGAGATAGGTATTTGATAAAGTTTCATATGGAGAACTAATTGATATCCTAAAAACATCAGGACTCAAAGGTAGGGATATAAGACTGATCTCAAACTTATATTTTCAACAAAAAGCAACAGTGTAATTAGAAAATGAACTCTCCGAGAACTTCACGGTCGAAAAAGGAGTTAAACAGAGTTGCATATTGTCACCGGCAATATTTAAGATATACTCTAAAAACAGCTTTTGAAAAGCCTTGAACAAATTGGAAGATGGGATTACTGTAATTATCCAAATTATAACAAGTATTACATATGCAGACGATACAGTGTTGCTGGCCGATAGTGCGCAGGGGCTCCAAAGGATGATTGATAACGTTGTAGAAGCATGTAACAAATACGACTTAAAACTAAATTACAAGAAGACAAAAATATTGATCATTAGTAAGAACACCAACATCAACGCCCAAATTACAATAGGCAATATGTCGTTAGAAAGAGTGAAAAAAATATGCTATTTGGGCTGCAATATTAAGGTTACTTGGGATCACAGCTACGAAATAAAACTCGTATTAGAAAGGGTAGAAACTCTTTTAACAGCATTAGGAAGATTCTCTGCAATTTCTGCAACTCAGAAGATACCATAAAACGATTAGAGATATTTGAAATGTGGTGCTACCACATAAACTGTGGTGACGTATGGTGACGTAACCATTTTCCAGAGGCTACGGAAAGACAAAGAAACTATTAACACCTTAAAGAACAGAAAATTGGCTTACTTTGGCCACACCATGCCTAATAATGTATACCGACTTATACAGTAGATTTTACACGGCAAGACAGAGGTTAAGAGAGGCCCTAGACGTAGACGTATATCCTGGCTGGCAAATTTTAGTAAGTGGACTGGTCTAACGTTAACTAATCTATTTCAAGCTGCTGTGAATAGAATAAGATGGGTCAATCTGGTTGCCAAAATCTCTAGAAGATAGACATTTAAAAGAAGAAGATAAAAAATTTTAAACTTACCGTTGAAAACCTCCTCCAGAGTCCAGCTGACTTCTTTCGTAAATATTTTGTGTGCTACTAAAAAACGGACCATTGCTATGCCAATTTGGTATTGCGGTCTGCCTGCACATATTAATTTTACAGTTTTCACAGAACTTATCCTGAACGTAAACCGGTTCGCTGTATATACTCCCGTCATCGTTTCGTTCCTTCTCACTTCCAAACAACATATCTGCCAAAGTAAGTGACTCGCACCTTGACATTTTGTCTTTGGTACTGCTTCTTGGATTACAAACCTTCGCTTTGGAGAGTTCGTTACTGTAAAGTTCGTGTAAACGGGTAAGCTGATTTAATTTTGTCATGGAGGGATCATCTGTCATGTTGTTATGTAACGTCGGATTATCGACATCTTCATAATCGTTGTAATACCCATTCATGTCTAGATGATACCTTGGCAGAATCCTATCCAGATCACTAAATGCTGACAAAGAGTCTGTAAAAGTGGACACAACAGTCAGATTTTCCTGACTTAGTATCCTAAGAGGATGATCAAGAGGATTTTCTTGATCGACTTCTGGTAATGGATTCTCAACGTAACCCATACACAAAGCAATGTCCTCTTCGGTTACTTGCAAGCAACTATCTTGCATAGGTACTGGTTCTAAAGGCTCCTCGACTTCTATTATTTCTAATACTTCATCTTGAGTATTAAGGTCTTCAAAAGCAAATTTTTGATAGTTGTTATATTCGGCGTTTGAGATCATTCTGTCTTTGAGGATTTGGTCTAAACTTTCTAGCGACACTTCTCTGCTACTCAACGGTTGAATTAATGGTAGAGGAGGTGGTATTTCCGGTTCTTCTTCATCTTCTAGGTCTTCTTCAACAGATGGCGGTTTTCGTGAGATTGATGAATCTTCTGTAGAATCTTGTTTTCTTGAATTGTTGACCTAAAAGTAAAACATACATATATGATAATATATAATAACAAGATACTAGCAAAAACTAACTGGATGTAGTGAGATGGTTGTGTCCATTTCAGTACATCTTGAACTCCAGTTTCTATTGAATTTATTAGGTAAGTCTTTTCAATATCAAATTTTACGAAAACTTTACATAATGCTAGAAATACTGTTGAAAATTTTGTTCATTTTAGCGTATTTAAACCCGTATTAACTTTTTCCTACTACTAACTGTTTCCTAGTTGATGCTAAAACATTACATACGTCTTAATGAAATGTCTAGTTAAAGACGTGCTTTTAGTTTCGCCAGCTATTATTCTGTCATGAAAATCTCAAGATATTGAATCGTTTGGGGTATTGTTAAACCATCACTAATATTATTTATTTTATCTGACATTGTTTTGAAAGAGTCTCTTCACTATTAGATCTGTATAGAAGTAATATTTATTAGTAATTGCTCTGTTGAATACTATCTTTGCAACAACATGTTGAAAATATATGCCTCATTAAACTTATCATTGAAAAACATTTCATTGACTATGAAAAAGAGCAGGATCATCCCATGCATATGTAAGAATAGTGTGAAAATGAAGACGAATTTATTGATTAAGATGATTCAGAGATAGAAGACAACATTGACAATGTAATATCAACAGAGATTATCCCGATATGGAACAAGAACCCTAGAAGAGAATGAAAATCAGCAACCTGTTGTAGAAAGTATCAGACAAAGTTGTTATTATTCCGTAAAGAATGGAATGAAATGGAGAAAAGAACTCAATAACCGAAATGTTCGAACAGGAGTAGAAAATTTAATTACACATTTACCGGGAAAAAAAAAATCATGCAAAGCATGCCAAGAGACCAATTGAGTGCTTCCTGCTATTTATTGATAGACAAATAATTGCTGAATTGGCTAAGCATAGTAACCAACGAATTGCAGAAAAATCTAAAAGTTTTAACAACTCTCCACATTATGGGAACACATCTGTGATGTTGGGGCTCCTTTACCTGTCTAGTGCATTCAGAAATACCCACCGTCATTAATATGAATTGTGGAACACTGACGTAATAGGAATGGACGTTTTCCGTTACACAGTGAGCCAATCTCGATTCGAATTTTTAATTTCGTATAAGAGATTCGATAAGAAACAAATCCGTGAGAAAAAAGTCAAGTTAAATAAACAAGTTCATATGGGAGCTTTCTTAGACAGGTTTGTGGAAAATTGCAAGTCTGCATATTCACCCTCTGAATTTTTGACAATTGACGAGAAGCTTGAATTGTTTAGAGGGAGATGTGCTTTCAGGTAATATATGCTAAATAAGCCATCGAAATATGGAATCAAGGTACATGCATTAGTTGACGCACGTACGAAATATCTACTCGATATGGAGGTGTATGCCGGACAACATCCGGAAGGTCCATTCCGAGTTAGAAATTTCTCGAAAGTCATTGTAGAAAGATTGGTTGCTTTTCTGTCTGGGACCAAATGCTCAAAACACTCATGATCTCTTGGTGAAGTTGCGTGAGACTCATAGATAAACTGCAGTAGCTACTATCAGAAGAAACAAGCCCAATTTGACCATAAAATTCCTGCAAGGGAAAGGAAGAGAAGTTTTTTCCAGTATATTTGGATTTAAGAACGCATACACTATTTTTTTATATATACCAAAGAAAGGAAAAGTTGTTTTACTTACATTCATATCTTCTCTCCACCATAATACAACAGTAACAAATACTCTTATTAAGCCAAATTCTTTTATAATTCGACCAAAGGCGGAGTTGACGTAATAAACTAAATATCTGCAACGTATAATACAGCACGCAATAGTCGTCACTGGGCTTTGACAATTTTTTTCTCTCCAATAAACACTGCAGGAATCAATAGCCAGATCATTTACAGACAAAGAAACGATAGTCCTAACATTGCTAGAAGGCTTTTCCTGAAGAAACTGGGTTTTTAATTGATCGAAGAACATCAAAGAGAAAGAATGAGTAACCCTATATTATCTAGAGAGTTGAGAAGCAGTATCCGAAAGATTTTAGGTGAAAATTCACCTTACATTAACTAATATTAACTGTAAATTATCAATTTCATAGCATTACAATTTTTTTCAATGGATCTGTATAAAAATAGATTAAGTCAAAAATAATTATACCTCTGGTAGATTTTCAGTCTGTTCACTTGGTTGGATTTGTGGCACCTCTTTTGGCGTTTCCTTTAATTTTACAGTCGTAGCCTTTGGTATAACATGTCGTGACTTCTGGATCTGTATAGTCTGGTGTTCTACCCATTTCCTTATCATATTTTTCTTATGGCTGTCCATGTAACCATAGGAGCAACTGGTGTCTTCTTTCATTGGTCCATCTATCCAAGTTTCTCGTTTCCGTACATGGCATTTTTCTTTCATAAGATGGAAAGCTTCAGCCACCTGCAATAATTTATAAATAAATTTAAACATTAATATTAAAATGGTTTAATTTGTGTATGTCTATCCATTCCAACAACGCAAAAGAAAAGCTTAAGTATGATGTGATCACTAGCTAAATATACCCTTGATTTCGAAATCCTGGGCCCATCAATCCATTGTTCATCACTGCACTCGTTCATAGCATATTTGACAGAATCAATCTTTATTTTGGTAGAATCTTTTCTGCTAGGGAAGACTTAGGGCTACTATTGTGACTAGGAGAGTTTTTATAGCTCTGATTTGGTTTCGTTACGTTTCGTTGCTGGTTGTTCCTTTCCTCAGATTTGCTTGACTTGGACGGTGATGGTCTTTGTTCAGCAATGGAACCTAAAAATATAAAGAAAAACTGTAATAATAACTAAAAACTGTAATAAGTTGATGCTGTTACATATTAGTCCAAGGTATACGAGCTTTGGACATTTTATTAAAAATAAAAGTTTCGGTTTACTATTTATTAATATGCAAACATCCTATGCTCCAAAAATTTGTGAATTTCTCTGCAAATGTTGAAAGTAAAACTTAAGTTACAGTTCACAGAGTAAGTGAAGCATGATGTGGTTTACTAAATTTTATTCAATTTAAAACTCAGTTAAATATAAATATTACAATTACTAATCACATTAATAATTATTGTTAACAAAATAATTCGCACAGATATTTATTACCGCCAATAAGAATACTCACAGGCCGCCTCAGCCGGCTTATATAATGATAACATATATTCTCGAAATAGTTTGTGGTTGAACGGCTGCCGAACGCCGAATCCACGCGATAATACCAAATTCCAGAAGATTACCGGAGACGCACACATGTCCGCATCAATAGAAACGTTGCGTGGACTATTCGCGATAAACAGTGTATTCTCGACTTCTTTAAAGTACATTAGTACTTACATTAGTAAATTAGGAGTATGTAACACAACAATATTATTTCATTAAATGGCCAACTATATGGCCTAGGAGACAAATTCGTTAAACTTCCCGTGCTCGAATTGGTATCACTAAAGTGTTATGATCATTTCGGCCTATCCCAGCCATCGTCAGACACTTGGGCTGATACAAATTCAAACTCGGAAAGTAAAACGAATGTCTCCCAAATCTTCACTACCGTGTAGTTAGCTTATAAAGGCGCCCCCTACATTGAAGGCCGTGAACGAAACGATATGAATAATCGTTTTCTGTATCCTTTATGCTATGCGAAATGTGTAAAGAATTAAATCTTTTAGCGAAAGCCGCTATCGCTTTATATATTATTAAATGGCCAACTATATGGCCTAGGAGACAAATTCGTTAAACTTCCCGTGCTCGAATTGGTATCACTAAAGTGTTATGATCATTTCGGCCTATCCCAGCCATCGTCAGACACTTGGGCTGATACAAATTCAAACTCGGAAAGTAAAACGAATGTCTCCCAAATCTTCACTACCGTGTAGTTAGCTTATAAAGGCGGCCCCTACATTGAAGGCCGTGAACGAAACGATATGAATAATCGTTTTCTGTATCCTTTATGCTATGCGAAATGTGTAAAGAATTAAATCTTTTAGCGAAAGCCGCTATCGCTTTATATATTATTAAATTATTAGATTATTCATATCGTTTCGTTCACGGCCTTCAATGTAGGGGGCGCCTTTATAAGCTAACTACACGGTAGTGAAGATTTGGGAGACATTCGTTTTACTTTTCGAGTTTGAATTTGTATCAGCCCAAGTGTCTGACGATGGCTGGGATAGGCCGAAATGATCATAACACTTTAGTGATACCAATTCGAGCACGGGAAGTTTAACGAATTTGTCTCCTAGGCCCATATAGTTGGCCATTTAATACATAAAGCGATAGCGGCTTTCGCTAAAAGATTTAATTCTTTACACATTTCGCATAGCATAAAGGATACAGAAAACGATTATTCATATCGTTTCGTTCACGGCCTTCAAAGTAGAGGGCGCCTTTATAAGCTAACTACACGGTAGTGAAGATTTGGGAGACATTCGTTTTACTTTCCGAGTTTGAATTTGTATCAGCCCAAGTGTCTGACGATGGCTGGGATAGGCCGAAATGATCATAACACTTTAGTGATACCAATTCGAGCACGGGAAGTTTAACGAATTTGTCTCCTAGGCCATATAGTTGGCCATTTAATAATATATAAAGCGATAGCGGCTTTCGCTAAAAGATTTAATTCTTTACAATATTATTTTAATTTGTATAATTTTTAATCACAATATAAATAATTAAAATTAATACTGACGCAGTACTAACCTCTTAAAGCTTTGCTCATGGAACAACGATTATCCCCAGAGTTAAGGCTAGGTATGTAGACAGGAGGATGTTCTCCATCGGTGGCATCATCAGCTCGACCTACATAAATGACAGTATCTGCCGAGAGATCACTGCTGGATGGATCTGGTTCGCTACTGGTGCCGGCTGTTCTGGAAGCGTCTTCACCGGAACTACCTGGTAATTTTTTTATTTTTATTTTATTTATTTATAAACGGGCAATCGCAGAATTAAAATACAATTTAAACATTATTGATTAACCTACTTAAATTAAATTTAAAAATTTTAATCACACAAAAAATAAAAGTAGGAACAGTAAATATCAAATATTAACAAAGAATGTACAAAACACAAGGACATCAAGCTATCACACACAATTCTTAAGCTGAGCTTTAAATTCTTCCGGAATATTATAACAATTCAATATTTGAGAATATTGATTAGCAAACCTTGGTATTCTAGATGTGAAGGAATTGTGTCCTTAGTTTGTGTGATAAGGTCTAACATAAAACGGTTTATTTAGCCTTGTTTGTTTAGTGAGATCTTTGTGCATGCGTCGAATTTGGAGAGAAGTGATGTTGAGGGACCTTTCGATATTTGAATAGTTAATTTTTTAAATCCACTTGTTTTGTTTTAATACAACAAATTTTAAGAATTTGTGTTGAACTCTCTTAATAGCTTGAATATGGGTTTTATAGTGAGGAGACTAAACACATGATCAGTAATCTAGGTGGGGTTTCACAAGTGAACAATAAAAATTTTTTATGAATTGGATATTTAGAATGTCTTTAGCACAAGATTTGATAAACCCTAAAAGTTGAAGTGATTTTAAGACAACAGATGAGATATGGGGGATGTAGGATAACCTAGAATCGAGCACAACACCTAGGTCTTTTATCTGAGATACAGAGTCCAAAGGGCAACCAATTATAGTATAGATATGATTTGTAGGAGTTTTATTGCGGCCAAAAATAATTAAATGACACTTTTAATAATAAGTTCCATTCCGTTGCTGTTACACCAATAGCTCAACCGATCCAAATCAGGATGTAGATTTTAATAATTATTATCATGCTTAATTTTCAAATGTAATCTAAAATCGTCAGCTTCTTTCTCTTCTTTGTCAACTATTTTCCATCCACACCTGAATGTAGGTATCTCCCAATTGCTTCCATAGTTCCCTGTTTTGCGCCAATCTAATCCATTGTTTGCCTGACACTGCTCTTATGTCATCTACCCATCTTTTTTGAGGTCTTCCTATGCTTCCCATGCGGGTAGCGGGTAGGAACTCCTCTGGATAGTCCTATCAGGGAAAATGAATTAATCCCTGTCCTCCGTAGATTTCAGGGGCTTCCTGACTTGGGAAACTAGTACCTGCTTGGGGTCCTTATCCAGGGTCACAGCAGACACGGCGAAGAAGAATACCTTCTGTACGGCGTGGATGTCGAAAGTGGCAATCCCCTGATTTTAGGGATTGTATAGAATCACTCGCCATTCTGTTCGGTAAGCGTGGGGTTTTAAATATGCTAAAACCTCCCAAGTTAAAGATGTCGAGTATTAATACGAAATTACTCCAGATGAGTAGAGTTATACACTCAAAATCTCACACTGAGCAATCAGTCAGCCTCATGGATTGTGGGAAGGCGAATATTCGATTGAATCTAATAAGAAATCGTCAGCAAACATTAGGAAAGAAGCAAAGAGGAAACAGGAGGCAATGTCATTAACATAGTTATTAAATAAAAGACGTCCTAGGTGTGATTCTTGTGGTACTCCTGAAAGTACCTTAATCTCAAACGATTAAAAATTCTGAACACGTACTATTTCTATTCTTTCAGTTAGGTAGGATAACAACCATTATAAAAGTTCACACTACATACCCACTCCTCAACTTGATTCAAATCTTGTGATTTACCCGGTCAAACGCGTTTTTAAAGTCTGTGTATACAATATGAACCTGGAAGCCATCTTCAAGAGACTCTATAAGGAAATCAGTAAATGTCAATTAATTAAGTTCAGTGGAGCGGCTACAGAGAAATCTAAATTGCCTCAACAGCCTTTCAAAGTTGCTGACAAATAGTCACAGACAAGGCTCTCAAAAACTTTGGGATTTGTTCAGTTGAGAATTATCTCCAGATCTTAGCATTGTGGTAATAAAGCTAGTTTTCCAGTAGATCGGGAACATCCCTGTCTTTAATGACAGGTTAAAAATGTGAAAAAGGGGTCTAGACACTAAAAAGTGTTTAAGAAAAGAAGGTGGAAGATCATCTAGACCTGGCCCCTTGTTGCTATCCAATATGGAAAGTTTTTCATATAAAGATGAAATAAAAATGCTAAATTGTGATAGGTTGATGTCTCCTACTAAAAAGGTTTTATCCTGCAAATTAAAATCTTTATCACTATAAGTTTTGAAAAAGTATTTAGCAAGTAAATTGACAATGTCCATGCCAGAAGAGCAAAAAATATTATTACAGTGCATAACAAAAGGTATTTTTTTATTGTTAACAAATTTCCAGAAATTTTTAACATTATCTTTCAAAGAGGATTCAGTTAGAGCAACATAATCAAGATAGCATTGTTCTTTCATTTTATTTACAATTAGCTCGTAATAAAGAAAACTCATTATAGTCAGCAAGTAATTGAGATTTTAGATACTTTTTATGCATTTTCTTTTTTTTATTATTATTGTTTTTTTAAGCTCTGGAGAAAACCAGACAGGAAACTTTTTTGTTAAATACTTTTTCAGCGGGACAAAAATATCAATTGCAAGGTAAATAACATCATAAAACATGTTAATCATATCATCACGACTTTCATCTTCAAACAAATCATCCCAATTAAATTGTTAAAGAAAGTTTGTTACTTTTCGTACACTCATTGAACGAAAGTCTCTACAAAAGCCATCTCGAATCAATCCGGTCTTATTGAAATATTGAGATTCACATTTAAACCCAAATGAGAGTGAAGGATGATGCCTATCCTCTAGATACCTCTAACTCTTTATCTTGGACCGTGACTGAATCTAATAAGGAGTTGTTTTCATTTTTAGCACTGTTTACTTAATACAGCTTATGGAAGGAACATAAAAATGAGAGGATTTGAATGGAATCGACTTCATTTCGTAGGTTCGTGGTAATGGAGCACTGACAATTGGAAAGATTACAATCTCCCTGTATACATAACTTATATTTTGGATACTTTTCAGCTAGATTATCTACATTTTCTGCAAATTCGACATACTTCTCTATGATACTACGTGGTGGAAAGTAGCAGTAGTAGCAGTTGTAAAGATAAACTTGTCGATGTGGACAATCTCAATCATGACAAACAGATGTTCGATATTTTGAGTCGCTGGTTACTGGTCGAACAGTGGTTATGGTTTTCCGGACAGCTATAAGCACTACTTCACCTCTTTTAATGGTACTTGTTTCTGAGGATCTATCTCTTCTATACATGTTGTAGTCAAATATTTGCAGTTCGGCACTCTTTATGTCATCTGGTAAGCATGTTTCATTAAAAACTAAAATATCATATTCTGAGTAACTGAAGTTTTGTACGTAACCCTCTGACATTCTGAAAATACACCAGCGCTTTTGAAGTCTTGACTAATTGAGCTTAGAACCTGGTCGATATGTTTAGTTTTTTAAAAGAATAAAAAATAAAACTTCATTAGATTAATTCTATATTTTATTAGTAATTATAACAATTTGTCTAATGATCAGGAAATGTTAAAGTACAGGAGAAAAAAAAAAATAAAACGAAAAATTCTAAAACAATAATGATAAGAAAAGTAAACTAAAATATGAAAACAATCTTCAAAACGAGTGTTTCCACCTCTACTACGTATAACAGCCTTTCATCGTTGGCCCATACTTAAAATTAATTGTATTGCCGTATTTCATTTTGGTCTAGTTCTCTCCAAATCTGGATCCGCCTCTCTCCCACTTCCTGTAAGTTGTTTGGTTGGATCGGTGTCGCTCTTAATCGCCTACCAAGGATATCCCAGAGATTTTCAATGGGATTTAAATCTGGACTATGTGCTGGCCATTCCATAATGTTAATTTCTACCTCTTCTAAATAATTTCTGACGATCTGTGCAGAGTGAGATGATCTGGGATTATCTTGTATTAGTAAGAAATTTTCACCAATATAAGGATCGAATGGTACTACATGTTGCTCCAGGATCTCCAATATGTACCTTTCAGCTGTAACAGTTCCATTTTGTATGACTACTAGGTCTGTACGTGCGGTCAAAAAAATACCACCCCACACCATAACCATCCTCCACCAAAAAATGTGGTGTGTGAAGTTACACTGAGCATATTGTTCGTTGGGTCGTCGCAACACATGAACACCTCTGTCGTTATTGTACAAACAAAATCAGGATTCATCAGTAAATAGCACTCGTTTCCAGTCAGCCTCTAACCAATTAACATGTTCTCTGACAAAATGTAGTCTCCCCCTTCGATGCTCTGCAGTTAATGGAGGATCTCGGGCGGCAATCCTAGGTGTTAAGTTGTATTATCTAAGTTGCTGGCGAACAGTTTCAGTACTAATTTGTATAGCATGCACGTCTCGAAGCTGACTTTGTAGACTTCGATGTGTTACAAAACGTTGTCGAAGAGCAGAAATCCTTAAACATCGTTCTTGAATATGGGTTGTTATCCGGTTTCGTCCTTGCCCTGGTCTGCGAGTATGATCCCCTGTTTCGAGGAATCTTTTTAACACCCGTGAGACGGATGTGTGGGACACAGTAAACCGACGACGAATTCTTCGGTAAGTCCACATTAATCTCGGGTTAAATTATGTGAATGACGCTCCATAGTAAACACAATTAACAATAATCAACAATAAAACAGTAGCCAAATAAAATTTGTAAACGCTTGGAAATTAGTATATTTATAAAATTAGTACTTTTTTTGCTTCTTTGTGTTTTGTTGCAAAAAAACTACAGCGATAAAAGACAGTCAATAAATATAGAGTGTACGGGAACTGTATATTTCAAAATGAGATCGGATTCACCCTTACGCTGTCTTTCTTTTAACCCATTTTCAGTACATTCATCTCAGTTCGTTGTTCAGTAGTTAAATCAGCTTCCAGAAATACCTTTAGACCCCTTAAAATTAGTAGAAAATAAGCCTCGTTGTTGAAGAATGTCATATAATGGATTGGGATATGGACGGAGAATCCAACAGCTATTCGACTGAGAATAGCTCAAGACAGAGTGCTGTGTTAATAACCAATGTCAAGGGAACTTGATAGGGCGCCTTAAGAAGAAAGTTTTTGTTACTTTAAGTAGAAAGTAAAAAAGCCAAAGAAAATGTATTTTAAACCTGCCAAATGCGACATTTCTGTGTGAACATTCTAATACCGAAATGTGTTTAGAGGTGTAAATAAAAGAATTACTAATTCAACGTTAACTTCTCAACATCTTCTCAAGATCAAGATCCTGTTCGTTTACTACCAAAGCAGTGCCTTATTTTTATGTGTTTATAAAAGTCGAGAAAGCGAAATTGCCAACAGAATTATTTCATTTCCTTTATCTGTGTCCATTATTCGGTCGATTTAGAACGTTGAATCCAGGAAATATGGCTATAAACCAGTGGGATATCATTATTTACGTTTCACGACAGAAACAAAACATTAATGTCGGCTGAGTGCCTCGAATCAAAAGCGGAACGTTAAAAAGAAATCAACTAAAATTTATTTTGTTTTGTAGTATTAGATTGAAAGGGCGTTTTGATTTAAGGGGAATTTTTTTATCAAAGTTTCGTAAAAAGCTACAGATGTTTTTGGTATCTTGGTCACCGCAATTTTATTACTTTAAATTATTATTAATACTATTTAAAATAATATAAAAATTAAATAAACAAATGCCAAAAAAACGAATGGAGGAAAGGAGGAGTTTGAGAAAATATATTAAAAAGTTCTCAGTTTTTTTTTGATCATTTGGAAAAAGTAGAACTAATCTGACTTGGCACTTCCAAGTATCATCTTGTTGAAATATCGTCAAAAAAATGGAGTTTCTTAAGTAAGACGCAGCCAACGCAGAGTCAGACCCTAAAACCATATAAAGGATTCCCCACACCGACGCGAAACTTTTGCGACGCGAAACCGTTGCGGAACATTCGCAGGCGGAGCACTATTAAATTCATTATATATAATATATAATGAAAACTTACCATTTTCTCCTAGAAATGACCCTATATTATCCCAGACTTTATCCTTTTTTCTTATATTTTTATAATCTTCGTCACTTAAATCATAAATTATAGGATATTGTTTCATAATTTCAATTAGTTTTTCTGTAACAGCCATTTTAATAATTCACGCGAAACTATAACTTGCTATAACTGCAGAGGAAAAAACCGTGCAAGCAGCGTTTCATGAAACGTCAACGCTGTTCTGCCGCGACCGTTCCGGTTTCCGTCCGAACTTATCTGAACTGTTCTCGGACGCGACTAGTTCACATTCGAGACGCATCGCCCCACCCCTTATTTTTCCCGTTGGCCCCTCCCCGACCTGGAAATCCCTAATCGCTACTTCAGAAAGTATTAGGCGATTTTCAGGTCAATCAAGTCAGTCCTTCACGGGCACTCCGAGAGCTTAGTGCTCTCGGGGCTCTGCTTCCCTTTTAGCTTTCCATACTCTGTGGCTGAGTATTATTTCTACTGTATTTTTGGTGTTTGATTTCGACCTATATATATATTTGGTCATGTAAGAAATAACTTGCCTTTTTCAAGGCAAGACATCGAAGACAACAAACCTGATGTTTATTTCGACAACTATCATGTAAGATATTTGTCATGTAAGAAATCTCTCGTCTTTATTAAGACGAGCCATCAGGAAACAAAACATTTTGAAGTCCATACCCTGAAAATGGACAAAAGTAGAGGAGCTCACGATGTTTTCGAAGCCCCTCTACAGAGCACACGGTGGTACAGAAGGTGGCAAGACCCTTTCCATTTACCCCGAGGTGACAGAACACATGCATTAAGTCGCCGTGCCTTACGATTCGCCGCGATTCCGCTGCGAAAGTTTCGCGTCGGTTTGGGGAATCCTTAAATCTTATATCGCTCTCGCGGAAATCTCAAATCTAATATAATATATTATTAAATAATATTAAAAAGTAACGAGCAAACTGATTCCGAACAATAATTACAAAATATTTTACCTCCTGAACCATTTCCTGCTGCTGTCGATACAAACTTAATCCTTTTCCGCCTCATTCGATGTATTCTCGAAGCTAACTGAACGGTGGTCAATGTATCCAAATAGTTCTGAGCCAACGGCGACACATGGGCTATCATCGTAGCATGGCACGTCACACAGCCTAGACATTCCTTCAACAGTTGCGTCAGTTTATGTTCTTTATATGGCAGATGCTTCTGACCGTTGAAAATTGCAAGGATGATGTTACCGACGCCCGACAAGGGAATCCCTCCGCTGGATTTGCTTCGATCGGAGTTGCCGAGATCGATGAGGTGTAGACGACTTCGACCACCAGCCACTTGAAAAATAAAATAATTGAAGATCATTAAAAAATAAAAAACATTAAAAATAATAGTTTAAAAGTGAATTTGATAACAAATATAACACGTCTCAACTGACTGAAACACATTTTTGGTGCTAAAAATACAAAATGTTTCGCATTATAACAATTATTAAGATCTATTTGCAAACTTACCTCCACCCTTTCCAGCAACACTATACTGGTATACGTGTAATGTGAATAAAAAATGGGAATCCCTAGAATCTTCCTTGTGGCACGAACGACACTCGATAGCAGCATCTAAATAGTGGGCAGCTCTTTCAGCACTAGGTACTCGCAACTCACAGTGAGGTGGTTGGTTACCAAAGAGGTGTTCGTCTCTTAGGTACATTCCCGGTGATTGTTCCGAATCTAAAACAAAGTAAAATATATATCAACAAAAAAACTACAATTTTTTACATGCTTGAAACCTTTCTTCATATAAATATTACAATATCGTTATAAATAAAGAGAAATCGAGAAATACAGGTGGATAAATATTTATAGATTTTAAAACTGCATTTCATATAAATCATTTCTACTTAGCAGAAATATTAGAAACGATATAAAAATAATGACTGGTTACAATATGAACTTCTTGTTGACTCGGTGATACACTTATCATGAATCAGTAGTGCCAACTAATAACCCTTAACTAAAAAGATCCAATACAGAATTTTAATACCAACAGAAATTGCATACTTGTACGTTATTTATCTGAAACGTATAACTAATTTTCTCTAATTGTAACAGGTAGCAGTCCTCAATGATGCCGGTAGAGGATAGGCTGCTACAAAACTTGGTGACCCTGCTTTATGTTAGCCACTGACATCCCTCCTTCCTATCATGAGGAAGTCAGGTCATTATACACTTTGTGTCTTTTCACAAACTATCCACACATATAACTTTAATCTAAACCGGCCAATATGTCGTTTCAAGCCCATCAGGTTTTAAAATCACGCCAAACACCCCCTAAAATAAAAATGAAAATGTCATTATTTCAAAAACTGTATTAAACCAGGATGAGTAGGAAAATATTACCAGAATCTCACACATGCAGGATTGACAATCATAGTCAGATCATCTGTTAAAAATAAAATTTTATTCTGTATCTAAAATTCAGAGCACTGTAATTAGAATACAACCATTCTCGTGGCCATTGATTGTCGTAGCTATTTATTCACGTTCCAGACATAATATTCTAGTTGAAGTAAACGATAGCTTCTTCCAAACTCTTGCTCACACTTCTTGGTAGCAGGCGATTGGAATGCTAAAAATACTCTATGGGGATCAAGACTAACTACAACGAAAGGAGGGAACCTGCACCGATCATTACAATAAAAAATTCATTCTTTTTATCCACAGGACAACCAACATACTGGCTAGCAAATAACAACAAATTTCAGATCTTCCAGATTTTGCAGTATTTAAAGGTTTACCCAACACGCATTCAAGTACTTAATGTCAGAGCCTTAACATATGGTAACCTGGGGAGCGATAATAACCTTGTTTTATGCAAGATGCTACTAGAACTAGACCGAAAAAAACACAAGATAGAGTCGCTAGTAATCGAGAGTACAAAACTTCTTATGAGAACGGGATTCCCAGCCAACTAAAAGAGATCGAGTTACAACCAGAATGGGGAGTAGAAGATACTTGGCAAAAAATCAGGAAATGCATCAACTAAGCAGCAGAAGAAGTAATTGGAAAGCAGAAAATTAACACGAGGGCGATAAACCACACCGAACCGTGGTTTTGTCAAGAAGTAAAAGAACTCTCTGGATTAAAACGCAAATGCTACCTGAGATATAAAAGCACACAATCGAAAGAAGCTCTCGCACAATATGTCTAAGTAAACGCAAGAATAGAATCAATCTAAAGAGAAGATTGGACTAAATTCACCAGCGACATGGACTACAACCTACATGGTGGCCAAAAAAAGTATGGAAAATGCTTCGAAACAGAAAAAAACTAGTTTGTGCAAACCAAGGGAGTACCTATAGAGACATGGAAACATCATTTTAAAGAGATAGATGATACTGAAGAAACGCTGAATATAAACGAGTACGAAACAGATATAAGTTTACAATCAATGACGAAGAGGTAGAAGCAAAGATCAAGAAGATAAAAAACAGAAAATCACCTGGAACGGATGGTATACCCAATGAACTCTGAACCATAAAATATGGAGGCCCTGAACTTGCAAGTAACCGCTTTGATGGTTTGGCATTAATGACTACGTCCACTGCGCCACATCACGTGTTGCCTCTCACCCTTGCTGGCTCTGACCGATTTACACAAATCTCTCGGGCAGTCTTATCTCAGTTATCTCTGGCTCTTCAACCTTTCGCTTCCTACGACTATGAATCCTGGCCCTTTCATCTACCAGCACATGTAAAGAAACATAGTCGGTGATCACCCACAGAGCGGCAACTAACACAGTCCAGTAGGTACATGCTACCCGCAGCAGACTTGTTCTGTCGACGCGTACCATGAGACTCTTGTAAGTTGGTATTTCTACCACCTCGCTATGGGTGGACTGCGAGTGGACTGTGGGCATAGGCAGCTGAATTATTATCTGACGCAAATGCTCACAGGCTATGGATGCTTCCATAGCTCACTTTTCAGGTTTAGAAGGAGGTTAGTGCCGATCAGTGCCTCAACTTTGGTCTCTCGGATACTGTGACATACACGATGTTGGAGTGTGAGCGTTGGGCGAATAAGAGAAGTTTAAAAGAGAGTGTAACTGCAGAATGTTTGATTCCGTAAAAGAAATGGTGGAGAAAATGATGAGGGATGAGTGGTGGGGGACACGGATCCACAAATGTATCAGAGAGCTGCTTTCTTCAAAAGAACGAGAGGTGAGGGAACTCGCAACAGCATTTTAAAACTACTCGGTGGAGTTCGGACTGTCGCAGGCTGAAATAGGAAATACTTAGACACAGACGACACGAGAAAGGTGGCATCGTCACTAAGGCAGGGGTTTGTAAATGTCTGTGGTGGTTCATATGGGTCTGGTTTTTACGATGAATGTGTGTGAAAAATACGAGAATCGGGTGATAACAGGAGAGATGTTTTGCCTTAACTAGCCTTTTCATTCTGATGTCATGAGTGACAGAGAAGAGGTTTTTAGTAGGATGCCGAAAGTCTTGGAGTGGTTACGGGACGAAGTGTCAAAGGTCTAACTTCCTCGGGAATCTCGTCATTGCACGATTTCGTTAAAGTATTAGGAAACCAACAATACCTGGGTGAGTCACAGGTGTCTATATGCAGATTTTTCTTTTTCTCTTTCTTCTTCTTCTTAAGGTGCCGTGCATTTCTGCGTAGGCGTCCACCGTACATCGTCTTGTCAGGTGAGATGTTAAATATTCTGGATTAAATCATTCTGTTTTTAGCAGCATTGCGAAGCATTTTCTCTTTAAAGATGTATAAAAATAGAGTAGACAAAAGGTGAATTGATATTAGCTACTTAACAAGTTGCCTGCCGTCTCGGCCTATGTGACCGAGAAAAAAAATTGCTCTGCACGCCAGCGAGGTGCTATGGTTTGAACGGAAGGTATTACAAAATCCTCTATGGCAGGTAACGTGTTAAAATGACTTTCATAAACAGAGTTAAATACGAAGAAATACCAAAAATGACAGGAATCACAGATGTTATAGAGCATATAGCATGGCTGAAGTGAAACTGGGCTGAACATGTGTCCAGAGAGCATGATAAGTGGAGGACCCAAAAACTAACAGTGTGGAAACCACGAGCTGACAGAAGAGGCAGAGGTAGACCATTTACTCGATAAAAAGACGACATCAATAGAAATGGTTGCAGGAAGCTCAACTGGAAATAATTGTAATTGAAATAATAATGTTCAACTTTGGAAGCAAAAGGCTAAATGTTCTGGTAACTTATTTGTAGTAATCTTTTGACATAATTTTTGAACACCCTCTATATTCTTCTTGATTTTCATATCTTCAAAGTAACAAATATTATCTATATAATGAAAATTTATTTTTTAATTAATTTTCTTTAATGAATTCCTTTGTGAACGTATAATATGAACAGAAAACGAAGTAACTTAAATTTTCCTTATTTTTAAAAAATCGACGATTTTCGTCCATAGTAAGTCTGCTTCAAGCATAAAAAAGTAATATTCTCCTGAAATTTCCTCGAACAATCCGATTATCAGCAGTAACTATTCAAAAAGAGCCTCTTAAATAAAGAACATTTAAAGCTCTTTACGACAATCCCTTTTATTCAGTACTCTCGCAAAAAGGTCTTAAAAGTCTCACAAGAGGACGGTTTGGAAGTTTTCGATAACAATAAAACACATCTGGCGTGCGATGACAGGCTGTTGGCAATATGAAAGACACCTTGTTTCATCGCCAAAACTTCCTTGAGACATTGTTGTCACTAATAACATCAAGACCCCCGCCCCGGTCTTACATCTGCTGCCTGCTTGCGTGTAATTTCAAATTTAAACATGAACCTGACTGACTATTCGGGATATTTGTGGGTACATATTTGCTGCTTGTATTAACAGGTTTGCTCGTGTTTCTCGTTAAACAATGAGGTTATAGTACGGGTTGTTTTGGTCGATATATAATACAAAAATTTCATTTTTTTGATTAAATTTTTAAAACAGAACGTAAGACTTAGTTATACCTACGTTGTTAGTTAATAAAATTTATTAGTATATTCAAATGTGTGTAATTAAAGTTTGCAATTAATTGTGTCATTCATCGACAACATTTAGTATAATTATATAGCTATATAGCATATTATAGCTAATAATCTAAAAGCTTGATCACATAAATAATTTTCGTTTAGCGGATTACTTTCACAGATGTGTCACAACAATGACGAAGAATTGAATAGAATACTTCTTCACACTAAAGTGCTCTGGCCAAATTTTATTTACTTTTTGCAAGTATTTTTACAGTTTTTGATACTAAAGGTTCCTATTTGAAAATAATCTTAATCAGGTGGAAACCAGATATTGCTTATTTAAGAGATTTATCATCATTATTCTGTCTTTACAACCCTGCGTGGGCCAAAGAATTTCTCTTCAGTCATCCCTATCCATCGCCTTTCTCCGCCAAGCACGTATTCCCATATTTCTAATGCCTTCATCGACGTTATCAAGGAACCTTGTTCGGGGTCTTCTTCTTCTTCTCTGACCAATGGTGTAATCAAGGAGCGTTCTTTTGGATGAATCATTTTGTTCCATTTGCATTCCTCTTCTCCACACTCCCTTATCATTTACTGCTTCATACATTTACCTTAGAATTTTTCTTTTGAAACATCTTAACATGTTTTCATTATTGTTTGTTAGCTGATTAAGCCCAAAATAGCTGTTGACCGTGCAAATTCTGCGGCT